AGGTGGCACAAGGGTGCGAGCGTAGTCGATGGCACACGGTCCCTGAGTCCACAGCCCGGCAGAGCACTCCCGCCTGCGTCCGCCCGGCAGGCCCCCCCTGCACGCCCCAGCTCCCACCCCACTCCAAATCCCCTCACCTCTCCTGCGTCATTGCAGGCGGGGGACATCCCCGCCGGGCCAGCAAGTACGCGGCCGTGGTGGCCATGGCCGGCGGCGCCGACCCAGTGCCTGAGAACCAGGCGGCCGCGCTGCGCGCGCTGCGCGCCTACGTCATCGTGGCGCGGCGCAGCGCGGCCGAGCGCGCGCCCGACACGGCCGGCGCCGCCGCGCCGGGGCCCGGGCTGCGGGACCTGCCCGACTTCCTGCTGGCTTCCCTGGTGTACATCCTGGCGGAGCACCCCGACCTGCCGTCCGCCGCCGACCTGGCGGCGGCGACGGCCGCGGCTGCGGGCGGCGCCCTGGCCGCCGCCGGGGACGCAGATGACGACGGGAATGGCAGCGCGCCCTCGACCCCGCAGGACCTGCTGCAGCCCTTTGTGCACATGCTCCAGGTCGGGCTTTCTTTCCTCTTGGGCAGGGGTGATCACTGCGTCAGGCGCCAGGAGGAAGCTGCTGGGTCCTGTGCGGAGGCAACAGGGGAGCGCCCTGGCCCCCTGCCCCCCCCTCTCCCCCCCCCTTGGATGGCAGAAAGGAATGTGCAACGCCACGATGACCCCCCACCTTGGCCCATCACCGCCACTTCAATTGACCCTGGTCCTTCGCACCCCCTCCGCAGTTTGCGCTGGAGGTGCTGGTCACCCCGCTTGCCGGCGAGGCCACCCACCCCGACACCGTGGCTCGATGTGCTGGGCCGGCCAGCAAGCTCCTGCACACCCTGCGCTACTGCGCCGTGCCCCACGGTGCGTTGTTGTGGTCGGGTCTCACTGGCCGTGGGTGGGGAGTTGGGGCCGAAGGGGGGGGGGTTGTTGCAGGCAATCAGGGACTTTTGGCAAGTGGGAGTCTGCGAGCAGCATGGGAAGGTGGAGGTACCGCTGCAGGGACCGGGTTCGACAGCACATGCGGCCCAAGCCCGGTGAACCTGTGGTGTGGCACCCCGGCCTGTGGTATGGCACAGACCTGCCTCGCCCTCCCGCCGCGGCCGACCTCAGCCATGATTGTTTCTAGATTGTAGGACACATCCGCAGACCCCTGCTTCCCACCCGCCCACCACCCAATCCTTGCAACGATGCAGAAGACGGCTCGGGCCTGGTGGAAGGCAGCCACGCCCGTGTGGCGCTGGTCTGCGATCTGGGGCTGGGGGTCCTCAGCCAACTATGCAGCCGCCTGACAGGCGGCAAGCCCCTGGCGGTGAGTGCGGGGTTCGGGTGGATGGAGGAGCCCTGTGCGCGATGTGAGGGGTAAAGGGGCGGGGAGTGTCAGCATGGGGGAGCAAGGGGAGCAATCCCACCCCCTCCCTGTGGACACCGACCGGCTGCCTCGCATGCAAGGTAAACCCCTGTCGCTGAGGTCATTGAGACCATGCCGTGCCCGACGCTCCACACCACACACCCCGCTGCAGCCCGTCCAGCTCCCGGGGGGCATTGGGCTGCCGCGAAAGCTCTTCAGATTGGTGGCCGATGTGGCGGGTGAGGCGGGGGTGCCGCTGGGATCCCCGAGCACTGCAACCCTGCAGGCCGAGAGGTGCCGACGACTGCCAGCCCTGCTGCGAACACTCTAGGCCCTGGCCCCACCCCTGTCGCACCTCCTCGAGCGGCCCATGATAACCCCTCCCCCTCCATACCAACAGGCCAGCGCCCGAACAGGATCGATCGGCAGCTGCCTGCCGGCTTCCAGATCGCCCTCCTGCACCCCGGCTACATGGAGCTGTATGGCGGCCTGAGGTTGGAGGCCCGGGATCAAAAGGCCGCCCCCATGGCCTCCTCGTCCCAGGGCCCCAGCAAGCGCACGGCGGGCAGCAAGGACAGCGCTGGCCGCCAGGGGAAGCCCACCTCCGGCTCGAAGCCGGCGCGGCCCGGGGCGCAGGGCGGGACGCCCTCGAGCGGCCGGGCAGGGGTGGCGAAGCACGCGAGGCTCGCCGAGGCGGGGCCGGAGGGGCACGGCCTGATGCAGTCCCTGCGCGCCGAATCGGACGAGGATGAGCTGCCCGAAGAGGGCCCGGCGGAGGGGTTGGGGGCTGCGGGGACGGCAGGGGCCCTGCGCGCTCCATCGCAGGACGGCACGCCATCCGGCAGCGGCCCCTCCCCCTCATCGCACAGCGAAGACCCCGCTCAGCAAACCAACCGGCCCGGCCCCGCCAGGCCCCCGGCCAGAGTCACGTGAGGAGGGGGAGGATGCCAGGAGGCCCCGGGCCCACTTGCCACAACCATGGGTGACAGTCTGGTGGGGCCCCCGGCACTTCACACATCACAGCGCTGCATGTCCTCTGGCCCGACGCCCTCCCTTCACCCTCGTGCCAGGTCTGCCAGGAGGACCAGGACCTCAGGTGGAAGGTCCTCGAAGGCCCCGGCCGGCGGCGCCAAGGCGGGCAGAGCCAGGGAATCTCCCCTGCTTGCTGCCAGGACCCTGCGGTCTCGAAACAGATGACGCGCCTGGAAGGCCTTGGACAGACACCTGAGCCCGATGATCTTGTACCCTGCCACAGTGCCGCCACCCTGCAGCCCACCTTGATGACCCGGACCCCCTCGCCCTGTACTCTGGCTCCGCCTGACCAGACGTGTGGTGCTGGCGGCACGGCCGCTGGGCGCCTCGGCCCTGTCGGACCCCGGCCCTCTTCTGCCAGCCAGTCGCAGTCGTGCACGCCTGCGGCGCTGGAGCAGATTCTGCACGAGCTCACTCTTCGACTTGTTGCACCCGAACACTGTGGTGAAAGATGATACAACTCCCTTGATACCAGAGCCTGCAGAGCATCACAGCCTGATGCTGTGCCACATCGGCGCCTGAGAAACTGCATGGGAGACGGTGCCATTCCCCTTAAAAGTAGGTTCGTGCCTCTGTTCCATCCAAGAGGCCGATGTAGAGGGCCGCAGACCGCAGCACCACCTCTCGCGCGTTCTCCTCGATCACTCTGTGCGCGAAGCTGCCACGCAGCTGGTCAAAGCGGAGGCCCTCGGCAGTGCCCCGCATGCGTCGGACCTCCCCGGCCGGCAGCGGCAGCATGTTGGGGAATGAGTACATGAAGGTGGCCCCCCGGGGAGTGGGCATGATGGTGTCGCCTGGCCGGGGGGGGGAGGGGGGGGCAGGTGAATTCCAGCTGCGCGCAGGGTGGCAGCTGGGGCCCTGTGCTCACGTGGTTGGATCGCAGTCCCAGGCGCAGGCTTGGATCCCCAGGACCCCAGCCGAGTCGAGTCTGCATGGGCCCACGCATACTTGACCCAGGAGCAGGTGACATGCTGTCGCTGCGATACCTGTGAACAGCACCCCCTCGGGCGCACGCCCCTGCTCGTCCCACAGGAGGACGCTTGACCCCGGGAAGTGGCCACCCAGACGGTACACAGTGAGCCCGGGACCCAGATCCATCCTGTCCCCCGTCCATTGCCGCAGGCTGGGGAAGGGCTGCGTCACCCACCCCGCATCGGCGGCATGCACGTACACCTGTGCTGCAGGCATGGCGGCTGAGGCTGAGTGTGCTGCGGCGCGATGGCACATGGCCCCCCCGCAGGTTGGGCAGCCTCACAGTCTGATGTCGGGTGTGAGAACCCTCCCGGTCAGCGTCTGTGAGGTCAGTCCCAAGGTGCACCCCACACCTCTGCGCCCCACGCCAGCAGCACACCTTGCAGCCAAAGGTCTGCGCCCAGGATGCAGCCGCCGTGTAGAAGTGGGGGTGCGAGATGACCACCGAGCTGACACCCCCGAGGGCTTGGATGTCCGGCACGGACGCCTGTGACAGGTACAGGCAGTCCCAAAGGATGTTGCCGTCTGGCCGTGTGATCAGGTGGGCCACCTGCCCGATGCCCAGCGGGGGTTCCAACCCGATGACGTGCAGGCCCTCCCTGACTTGGGTGATACTGTTGCGGTGGCCGGAGTCCTCGACAGCTCCTGCGGTTGTCCACTCCTGAATCCCGGAGCCATTTTCGCCGACATACTGCCGGTCGTCATCGCAGATGCGGCAGCAGGACGGTGTTTCTTGCCCCTCGTACTGGGCAGCACAGGTCACGCAGATGAACACAGACATGCGGGAGGGCCGTGTGATCACTTCCACAGTGCGTCAAGCCTACTCCTCGTGAAGAGCATGGGTACTCGGCCACAACTACCGTCTCGCATGATTGGCTTGCTCTCGCGGTCCTTGATGTCGGACTAAACCACGTGCGAGTGGTCCCAACCCCCGACATGGGAAGCATGGGGACATGACATCAGTGGATGTGTAACACGATTCTGTTGAAGGCGTTGAAAGTCTTCCTATACGTGCACAGAATCGGGAATTGGGCATATTAGTTGCTGCACGCGGTGTGTTCCCACACCGGCGGATCCGGGATGCCGAGGAATTTTGTGGGGTTGGCTTTGGACACTGAGTTACCTCTCCTGGTCCTCTCCAACAGAATGTAATAGATGGTTTTGCGAACTTTTAGTGACGAGAGGCCTATGAGGGTCCTCTGTGTGAGTTTATTAGGAGGACAGCAGAGATGAATTCTGCCATACCTGCCCCCAAACCACCCACAGCGTCCGTGGCCTGCCCAAATTCAGCCAGCGTGCCGGCGATGCCCTGAGCGGGGGGAAATAGCTGTGAATCTGTCTGATACCTTTGGGTATGAACTGCTGGGCACGATCTTTGTGAATGGAGGAAGTCATTACAGCCAGCACAAACCAGCGGGAAGGAAAGGCCATCTGAGATATTGTGCGGCGGCCGATAGGGATGCAGCGCTCTGTGGAGGCTCGATGAGACATCTAACAATTTGAAAATCCGTCAGAGTGCAGGAGCACTAGTTGCTGGGAGATAGCTATCCACGTTATCAGTGCGGTACCATTGTGGTATAACGATTTGAGTATCATATGGGTTCACGATGGGCATGGGGGTTGCGAGCTGCTGTAGTGCAGCCAGGCCAGCGCAGCAATCTGACGATAAGCTGAAGTGGCAGCCTCACTCGGGCCTCAGCTTGGAGAGTTGCACAGCACACACAAACGCATTGGGAAGGGCAACAACCCAGATAGTGGAGGCTGCAATCAAGCCAGGGCAGATCATTGTTTTGGGGGGGGCGACTTCCTCTTCGGTGAAGGTGACGACTTCTTTGTAGGGTTTGGTGACACTGTCTTCCTAGGTGGCGGAGGGGATGCTTTCTTGGTTGGTGGAGGTGGTGACTTTTTGGCTGGCGGAGGTGGCTGCTTTTTGGGAGGGGGTGAGGAGCTCTTCTTGGGAGGGGGCGGGGGGCTCTTCCTGGGCGAGGGAGGGGGGCTCTTCCTGGACGAGGGAGGGGGGCTCTTCCTGGG